CAACCTGGATTTTGTGTGTGTCTGCTTGTGTCTACGTGGGTCTGACTTATGCTGCCTTCGGGGATACATTTAAGACTAAAGACATGTTGATTGGGGGTGGTCAACTGGGGACAAAAGCCTGTCACCATTTGGGTAAATTAATTTTGAGCCATTGGTTAAGGTTCGGGTTAGACCAGTGGGTTTGGGGTAGGGTTAGAGTGGTTAGGTGTGTAGGTGCGTGTGTGCATCCACCAGCCTGGTCTCATGGCACTTTTTTAAATGAGTAAGATTTCTTAAAATGCAAATACTACTTCTGTATACTACAACCTTTACTGTGCTGTAAATGTGTGTGTGTGTGTGTGTGTGTGTGAGAGAGAGAAATCACTTTACCCAGCAGGAATTAATGAAGAGGAGGAGACCTGTTAGAAAAAGACTGTCATGGGACATGGAAAACATGATGATGGAATGTAAATGTTTTGAAGTCAGAGGGGCTCAGATGTGTTTTTATTTTCAAAAAAGGCCACTCAAACCTAACCCTAACCAAACTGTTTTAGCCTGCCCTAAAAGTGTTTCACCAAAATTCAGGACGATGTTAAATAAAATCATCTCTGTCCTTGTTAGTGGACACTGCATACTGTCTAGTAATCTTTACTGTGTTTTCAGTCTGTCAAACCTCTGGACTGGGAAGATGACAAAGACTAATTTACCCTCAAAATTTCAAAGTATTTTTGAGTGTTAGTCCAAGCAGGAAGCTTCTGGTCTCAGACGCGAAACCAACGCTGAAGTCCCTTAAACCTGCATTCTCAAAATTTCAAAGTATTTTTGAGTGTTAGTCCAAGCAGGAAGCTTCTGGTCTCAGACGCGAAACCAATGCTGAAGTCCCTTAAACCTGCATTCTTTTGAACGGCCAGCAGGAGGCAACTCTTCTGGTTGCAAAAAGAAGTCTGGTTCCATTAGAAATAATAATAATAATAATACTTCTCAGCTGAATAATTACCTCAGTAAACACTTTCCTAATGAGGTTATGGTCTCAATCACTAGTTTCATGTCTTCTTCAATCCAACATGACACACACTTGTAGGCAAACTTGTTGTGCAGTTCTATGTTTTGGGGCAGTCTGTAGGCCCGCTGTGCAGGTGGTTGGTGCTGGTGGACATGAGCAGCTAGTTAAATAGTAAGTCACATGAACTCTTATGGTAACCTAGTTTCCCTTAAGGGATTACTTTCAAAACTGTCATCCTGGATTCATGTCTCCTGCACATTAGAATGAATGTCATTTCACTTAAAGGTCCAGTGTGTAATATTTAGGACGGTCTATTGACATAAATGTAGTATAATATACATACCTATGTCTATAAAGACCTTACATAATGATCCGTTATGTTTTTATTATCTTAGAATGAGCAATTTCTATCCACATAATCATGGGTCCCCTTACATGGATGTCGCCAAACGGATGAGCGTGTTTTGTTAGAGAAAGAAGAAAAACAACAAGTAATGTTAGTGGTAATAGTAGTAGTGGTGGTCTGGTTTATTAGAAGTAATAAAAGAGAAATTTGGACAAATGGAGGACCACATGTATTATTTAGTACAGGAGAGTGTCGCCCACTATAGCTTCTCCTCTGCGCTTGGAAAGGGAGGAGTAAGCGGTGCATTCATGTTGTATCGGAATCATTAGAATCTTTTTTTTCCTCTTTAAATCTTTACTGCAAAAAGAGAAACAAAGTGTACATGGGACATGCAGAAATATTATGACCTTTGATTTGTGCAAAATCACATTTTGCATAAACACATTTTACAAACATGTAATTTGTAATATGGTTACAACGGTTGGTTTGCTGTCCATGTAGAGTGAACTAGATGTCTGCCTGTTTTATATGCTCTGATAATGCTAATGCTAATCCGTCCATCTTGATTACACATTACAACTTAAGAGCACATGAACACACACTGTAGTCGGAAGAACGACTTCTCAACTCGGGAAATGGGACCATCCGAGGAGCATGTGACTGCACCGTGAGCCTCACCTCAAGATTCCACTAAAACTTACACACTGGACCTTTAACTTTCATCTTTTCCTAATTTTAATCAAGTGGTTTAGTTGTCTAACCATAGCCAATACATAATCATACTTTAGTTGCTCCAAAGAACATATATAGTATCAAACTAAAGAGTGTGTGCAGCAAACATTTTGCAGATACATTCAATATTTATATTCTGACTTTTTTTTAGAACAACACATTCCAAGTAGAATTGCTAAAACATATTGTGCTAATGCAAATGAGCATAGTGTAATTCACTGGAGAGGTTGTCCAGTCCAGCATACTGCATGCAGTATGAGTTGGGCGTCCTGGGTGTGTCTGAGGTTGTTAGTTATAGAAGGTGGTCGGGGTGTTCCTCCCCCTCCACCCGAGCTGTGAAATGTCTGGTTTGTCTGAGGAATGAGAGACCCTGGAGGGCCAAGGGTCCCAAACAAATGAGTTCCTATAAACCCTTCTACTTATACAGGGACAGGACACAATGCAGACGAGCAACCGCCCAAAGCAGCCTTCATGGTAATTTCACTCTGCTATTTACCATGCCCACCCATGGGTTTCACTGCTCTGTGTTGGAGCCAGTAACCTTCCTGTGCAGCATGACACATTCATCATGTCAGCAGCTGACACATCTAAAGAAGTCAGTACACTATTTCCTAGCAGTAAACAGTAATGGTAATGTGATTTTTGGGTTAAATTATACTTAAGTTGCTGTTTTTCCATGCGTTTAGTTCAGCACAAAGTCTCTGCATAAAAATATGTTACATCTAGCCAAGTGTTTGTGCTTAGTTGGATTCAAAATAAAAGCTGCATTGTAGGATATGCAGGGGAATGTTTTCAGCAAAGCTAATAAAGTTAATTGCTTGAACTGAAGCACTTTTATCAGCTGCACCTGGTGCATAAATAACTCCTAATGAGGAGCAACTCTATTGACTTTTAAAATGCCTCCCTCTAGTGGAAGACAGACACGCTTCCAAAGCATCACAGTCGGGTGTTTTCTGTTCTGTATCTACCACAAACAGAACAGGAATACATTTTGAATATTCCTACACCTCCGAATGTTGGGTTGAATATATGCAAAATACAATTGTGTGCAGTAATTAACACATGTATATTGCAAAACATAAACAGTGAATTTCTGCAACAGCTCTTTCATATCTCCCATATTTGAGCTTCTTCTCACATGGCTTCATTCTTTGTGTTTGTTTTATCAGTTGGCAGCACATTATTACACATTATTCAGTCTGACATCAGCTGCTGGGGTAATCAAAATATGATTCATTTTTATCTGTGTTTCAGTCAATAAAGGAAATGAATAATGAACCAAAATATGTATTATAATATTATATAAAAAATACAGATAAAATAGACCTCATACATAGATTTTTAGTCTGCTATAATTAAAAAGTCTAAATCAAATGTGGGGATTTAGGCTTAATGAAAACATGAGGCTGTTAACAATACAGCAAGGCATCCAAATCTATTACAGACGACAGGGCATTAAATAAATGATACTGCAGATGTGTTTCCTAATTTCTAAAATCAAAGCCAGTATAGTATAATAATAAAAATACCAGTATGAATCTTAAACAATACTGTCTTTTATAATGAGACATAATACTGATAACAGGACAAGACAAGAAGTAAGATTTGTTTAATTATAATTTCTAGTAACACCTACAAGTAATGGAAGATTTATGGTACAAGCTTCTACAAGTGTTTTGAGCGTGTAATGGCTGTAATGTGATGACAAAGAAAATGTATTTTGTTCAAAATCCCCAAATCTCACACTTCTAGAGCTGGGTAAAAGAGAGACCTGTCAATCATGAGTTGTCATGGAAATGACACATATCTCAAGCTAATTTCAGGAGAAGAGGAAACTGTGTGACGGCTGTGAGAAACTGAAAACTTTCTGGAGTGAACTACACCGTTTCCACACTGCAGTGAGAAATTGAAGCTCAGCTAGTTAAAGAAAATAGAAAATATAGTTATGATCACGTTAATAACACTAACCTACTTTTTAAAAGATCCTGTAGCAATACATGAATTTGATTATGGTTGCTTTAAGTTAAATAAAAAATATCTGGGCACTCAAACGGGATAAAAACCGGAAGGTTTCTGTATGTTGTGAAGCCTTTTTATGTTGAAAGTGAAAATAAAATTCATACTTATTCGTTTGATCTTTTTGCTGTTGTGGTTCTTAGTGAAATTAGAATTATTTTTGTTAAGAAATTATATCTTTTTGGTGTGTATTTGGTTTATAAACTTATTTGGTTAAAATTGTAATTGCCTACAAGAGGAAATGTAATTTTCATTTCTTTTGCAGTTGTAACTCTGATGTCATAGGACAAAGCCTCTCTATTGACACAATTTCTACGATGGCTTTATCCTGAAAAGTAGACAAATAAGAACAATATGTGTAGTATCATTATGATTTATATTTGCTTAGTGTGTAGAATTCAAGTTTTTGTTAATTGTAATGCATGCTATTTGCTGCAACTTAAGCTTAATATACAATTCATGAAATATTGTGAAATTAACAAATAATATGAAATAAATTAGAAAAAACATGAGTAACTACTTTGAATGTTGAACATTCAGATGTGAATTATTAATTCAATAATGTCAGTAAAAATGCACTTAATGGTTTGTTCATCTCTGTTCTAAAAATTACAACAAATATAGGCTCAAAGTCATTACTACCAGATCACCAGATGATCAATCTCCCCCCTTGTAGGTGGACTCATCACGAACAGAGATGAGCCCAGTGAGGGTGGTGTCATTCACAAATTTCAGGAGCTTGACGGACTGGTGACTGGAGGTGAAGCTGTTGGTGTACAGGGAGAGCAGCAGGGGGGAAAGAACGCAGCCTGAAGGGGAATTGGTGCTGAAGGTCCTGGAGTCAGACAGGTTTTCACAACTTCACGTGCTGCCTCCTGTCAGACTGGAAGTCTGTAATCCACCTGCAGGTGGAGTCAGGCGCGCTCAGATGGAAGACCTTGTCCTGCAACAGAGCCGGAATGATGGTGTTAAAAGCAGAGCTGAATCCACAAACAGGATCCTGGCATAGGTACCTGAGGAGTAAAGCTGCAGGAGAGGGAGGTGAACGATACTTTCGAACACTCAAACCAAAAACCATTGTGATGGAAATTCTTGTGAGTGAGTCATCTCTTGTTGAAGAAGAAGGTTTTTATTCAAGCCCAGCCGAGGAGACTGGTCACAGCAACACTGTGCAAACACAGTGTAGCACTGAACCAAAGCTGGAGATTGCTTCTCTTTATCTCTTTGCTATCCCATAAAGTCTACGCTGTCTCCCATACAAGGTCATTCTATATTTGCCTAAATATGTATGCCTTTGGGACCTTGATATCCAAATGAAATGCAAAATTTACTTTCATCAGGAAAGAGGACTTTGGACCACTGAGTAACCGTCCAGTTATTTTTCTCCTTAGTCCAGGTAAGATGCTTCAGACGTTATCTCTGGTTCAGGAGTTGACACTAGTAATGCAACATTTGTAGCTCATTTCCTGGACATGTCTGTGGTCATGGCACTGACTCCAGCCTCAGTCCACTCCTTGTGAAGCTCCCCCATATTCTTCAATCAGCTTTGCTTGACAATCCTCTCAAGGCTGTGGTCATCCCTTTCATCGTATATTTAAAGATCTATTTGCAGAGTGTTACTTCAGTTTCATGGGAGAAATTATGTTTGCACCTTATGTTAATTAAATTAAATTAAATTTTATTTATATAGCGCCAAATCACAACAACAGTTATCTCACAGCGCTTTTCATAAAAGAGCAGGTCTAGACCGTACTCTATGATGTTATTTACAGATGCCCAACAGTTCCCACCAAGAGCAAGCACTAGGCGACAGAGGCAAGGAAAAACTTCCTTTTAAGAGGCAGAAACCTCGAGCAGAACCATGGCTCAGGGTGGGCGGCCATCTGCCTCGACCGGTTGGGGTGAAGGATAGAGAGGGGGAGAGAGAGAGAGAGCAAGATAGGAACAGAGAGAAAGAGAGAGAGGGATGGAAGGAGAGAGAGGGGAGGGAGGCAGCCTACACAATATACACACAGAGGTACAGACAGTAAAGGTGATGTTGCTATAGACTAAATGAAAAATGGTACAGATATGTATAGTAGTGTTAATGAAAATAATCCTAATGTTAATGATTATAATAACAATAATAACAATAGGACTAGTAACAATAATTGTAGCAGAGGGTGTCGAGCAGGAACACGGGGGCAGCAGGTGACTCGCAACCACAGATCCAGACTCCACAGCTCCAGAACCAGAAACACCTGCAGGAAGTGATAGGAGGAGAGAGGAGAGGGACGAGAAAGCACAAGACTACCGGAAGTTGAGTTAGTAACATGCATTAATGGGATGAGGTTGCATACAGAGGGAGAGAAAGTAGAGGAGAGAGGAGCTCAGTGCATCATAGGAAATCCCCCGGCAGTCTAGGCCTATAGCATAACTAAGAGATGGTTCAGGATTCACCTGAGGAAAGTCTTAAGCCTACTCTTAAATGTGGAGATGGTGTCTGCCTCCTGAACCCAAACTGGAACCTGGTTCCACAGGAGAGGAGCTTGATAGCTGAACGCTCTGGCTCCTAGTCTACGTTTGGAGACTCTAGGAACCACAAGTAACCCTGCATTCTTCTTTAAGATAAGATAGTGCCTGACCATTAAGAGCTTTGTAGGTAAGAAGAATGATTTTAAATTCTATTCTGGATTTTACTGGAAGCCAATGCAGAGAAGCTAAGACAGGAGAAATGTGATCTCTTTTCCTGGTTCCTGTCAGAACACGTGCTGCAGCATTCTGGATCAGCTGAAGGACATGGACTTTTTCGAGCAGAACTGATAATAAGGAATTGCAGTAATCCAGACTTGAAGTAACAAATGCATGGACTAGTTTTTCTGCATCATTTTTAGACGGGATGTTCCTGATTTTCACAATATTACGTAGGTGAAAGAAGGCGGTCCTTGAAATTTGCGTGTGAGACTTAAACGACATGTCCTGATCAAAGATAACTCCAAGATTCCTCACAGTGGTGCTGGAGGCCAGGGCGATGCCATCAAGGGAAACTATATCTTTAGATAATGCGTCACTGAGGTGCTTAGGCCCCAGAACAATAACTTCAGTTTTATCTGAGTTTAACATTAAAAAATTACAGGTCATCAAGATTTTAACATCCTGAAGGCACATTTGAAGTTTAGCTAACTGATTAGTTTCATCTGGCTTGATCGATAGATATAATTGAGTATCATCTGCATAACAATGAAGGTGTATGGAATATTTCCTGATAATATTGCCTCAAGAAAGCATATATAAAGTGAACAGGATTGGTCGCAGCACAGATCCTTGAGGAACTCCATGGCTAACTTTTGCATGCATGGAGGACTCATCGTTAACATGTACAAACTGAAATCGATCTGATAAATAGGACTTAAACCAGCTTAGAACGGTTCCTTTAATGCCAATGAAATGTTCCAGTCTCTGCAATATGATTTGATGGTCAATGGTATCAAATGCAGCACTAAGATCTAATAAAACCAGTACAGAGACAAGTCCTTTGTCTGATGCAATAAGGAGGTCGTTAGTAATTTTCACCAGTGCTGTCTCTGTGCTATGTATGTTGCTATGTAGAAAGTCACACAGCTGTTTAGCAACTGCTTTCTCCAGGATCTTAAAGAGAAATGGAAGGTTAGATATAGGTCTATAGTTGGCTAAAACATCTGGATCAATATTAAAATCCCCTACAATAATAACTGTCTGTTTTAAGGACTAAAATTGACAAAACTCTGCAAATTCAGAGTACGGAGCAGGTGCTCGGTACACTATAACAAAAATAATTGGTTGCAGTGATTTCCAACTTGGATGTGAAAGACCAAGAACAAGGCTTTCAAATGAGTTATAGTTTAGTTTAGGTTTAGAGCTGATTAGTAGGCTAGAGTTGAAGATAGCTGCAACTCCACCTCCTCGGCCTGTGCCACGAGGAATGTGAGTATTAATATGACTGGGAGGGGTGGATTCATTTAGGCTAACATATTCTCCATCACCCAGCCAGGTTTCACTAAGACAAAATAAATCAATATCATAATCTGATATTAGTTCATTTACTAGTACACCTTTAGAAGAGAGAGATCTGATGTTTAAGTGTCCACATTTAATTGTCCTATTAGTTTGCACTATTGCTCTTGTGGTTTTAATTTTTATGAGGTTTTTATGCACAGCTCCTCTTCTGTTTACCTTTGATTTAAATAATTTCGATGGTCGGGGGACAGACACCGTCACTATAGGATTTTCACTAAGTAACTCCTGAAATGGAGGAGCAGAGAAGTGTGTTAGACTGCGACTCTGCGTAGGGTTTTGGGTGGGTAACTGCTGAAAAAGAAGGGCAGAGAAGTGTGTTAGACTGCGACTCAACTCTGGGTTGTCATGGATTTGGTCCACTAATAAACTTGGCCAGATTTCTAGAAATGAGAGCTGCTCCTTCCCAAGTGGGATGGATGCTGCCTCTCCGAATCAGACCAGGTCATCCATTGGGATGTTGTTCTTTATGTGCTTGAGAACAAGTTCCTCAAAGCACTTCATCAGAATGTGGGAGTGCCACAGGGTGATAATTATTCAAACTAGTCAGTGCAGACTTTTTAGGTACTGGGATGATGGAGGCTGTGGTCCTTGAAGCAGGTGAGAACACAAATGTCAGTATTAACATCAACCATCTGATTGGCACATGTTTTGGTACACTGCCAGAGATGATCAAGCCCAGCAGCACCCAGATTTATTCTCAGCATGATTCCCAGCAGATAATGAAGTGAAATGGGTAAATGTCTAACTAGAAGATTAAACGCCACACTGCCTGACTCTCAGGGTGCATGTGTGTGGCTGGTCTGGGCCGCCTGTCACCCCTCCTTTTTTCATCCCTCGCAGGGGGAGAAGGCAGAGACACATTCCTTTGATAGAAGGTGATAGGTCATACAGTGAAATGCATGAACACTGACTTCAGCTGATCAGTACTCCTGAATATTGCCCCCGAGACTGTGCTGGTGTAACGGAAGCCAGCGAGGCTGTGCAGCGAGTAAACCTCACACACTTGTAACGGGTCTCAGCCTCCTCGTCAGCACGTCGTATCTGAGTCGCTAGTTCGACTCTGGACCGTGCAGTTCATACTCGGGGGCAGCCGGTTACACTGGCAATTCCTGGTTCCATGCCGGCAGTCCGGCCAACACCAGTCACTCGTGTCCAGTCGGCGATCCGGCCGATTACTGCTCCTCGTTTCCAGTTGACCCCTGTCTCTGCTGAGCTGCAGTAACTCCCTCTCCACGCAGAACTGCAGCAGTCCCCAGTCACATAATTGGAGCAACCTCCCATTCCTCATAAACTGCAAAAATGTCCTGCTCCTGAGTTGGTAATGACTTTGGCTCCTGCCCTGCAGCATTCCCCCGAGCCAGTGTTGCAGTTGTCTGCTGTTTCAGAACTGCAGCAATCTGATGAGCCTGAGCTGCAGCAGCCATTTAATCCTGCTGAGCTGAATCTGTCACTTGAGCAGCCCTCTGTTTCCCCGGCTCCAATGGCTCAACTACCTGTCCACCAGTTGTTGTCAGCCTCCAGTCCAGGTGCCCTGTTACTGGTCTCCAGTCCTGCATTCCAGTCATTTGTCTCCATTCCAGTTTCTCTATTAGTGGTTTCCTCTTAGGCTGCCCTGTTGACAGCTTTTGATCTTTCACTCCAGGAGTTCTGCCTTCCCCACTAGCCACCAGAGGGGTTCTGCCTTCACTGCTGGCCTCCTGGTCATCCTTAGGACTTGCTCGGCCCTTCTGTCTTCCCTCCAGGAAACACCAGGTGAAACTACATTCTCCTACGATACATGGTGATGCTGTTAATTACAATCAATTACGTCACTTGCAACCACTGTCTGCACCGTCTCAAGGCCCAGTTCACAAACAATTTGGCGCTAATGATAGTACAGCAGGACAGCTGTGGCTAAGGAGGTAGAGTGTAGAGCAAATGTCCTTGAGCAAGATACTGAACCCCAAATCGCTCCTGATCGGTGTGCCATCAGTCTATGATTGTGTGCATTTGTCAAATGCCCCACCAGAGACAGGAAATGCTGGATTTACTGTATTCAGATCTACCTGCTTCAGCAATCCCACTTTCACTTGGACAAGGCTGGTAACACTGTGAAAAGAATGTATTTGAAATGTTTTACATGAATGACTAACTGTCACATTGCTAGATTTAACAGCTCTACTTTACTTGAGTACATTTTCTTCTAATTTATAGTTGCATGTGAGTTTTGGTATCTCTTCCATTTCCTTGAGAAGTAATCAGCCAAACACAAAGTTGATTGAAAAGTTTATTAAAATACATTTTCAAAGGGAATGCAAAGAACATTTATGAATCAAGCACATAGCTGCAGAAAGGGTGAAGTATAAAACAGATTCAGGTTTCATGTTGAAACATGAGCTTATGGAGAAGAGAAGATCAGGAAGAAAGCCTTACAGGCTTTTAGGATGTTAAGTTGTTAGGATACTAAGTTAGGCTAAACACATCCTGGGACCTTATGTAGTGTGTACATATAATCCTACCCTGCACATAGGCTACCCTGTACATACAATCATGAAAACGTGTGTAAAACAGACATTTCTTGTTTAAACAGATTTAGACACTATGTTACCTACCCCTCTCGTAAAGCGATAAAAAGAAGTCAAGGGTGCCATCAGCAGCATCTTCAGAATGACTAAAGCAGCATAGGTGGTGAAAGCCATAAATACCTCGTCTTCCATCAGCGCTGCCATCTCTGTTGGTTTACAGCTAAACAGTGAGGAAGAGATAGAAGTTAGTTTATTATTAACTTATTATTATTAACACTCTCAAGAAGACAAAAATGTATAAATGATCTGTTGTAAATGTACAAATCAGTTACAGTTTAACAGCTCAACTTACGTCCTGTGACTCTGCAGAAGTGAGGCAAGTCTGGATCTGTTGCAGGAAAACAATCTGAACCATCCCCCAAGGAACTCAGGAGGCGGGACAAATGCAGCATAATACACAACTTCCTCTGTGTGGGAGTGACATTGTGTTTCTCTGCTTGTAGTGACATGCATTCATATCAAAACAAATATTCCAAATTCTCAGCATATGTAAAATGTTTTTCTAGGATAATGTCTTGCATTTGGATTCAAGACTGTGATTAAATCAGGTTTAAAGCTACTCTACACATAGTAATGGGCCTTTCTGCATGATCCTGCAACTTTAATCCTCACATTATACCTGTGAACAGAATAAGAGGCGTCACCTGCTGCCCTCCTGTTCCTGCACAACATCTGCTGGTACAGTTATTATTAGTCCTATAATTATTATCATTAGTATTAATATAATTATCAGTAGGGGAGAGCGGCGTATGTTGTCACACTTTTCACACTGTCTAACATTTACTAGGCACCGTACATCAGAGTGTTATGAATGTCATACCAAATGAAAGAATGAAGTCTTGGGCAAATATTTTGTATTTATTATATCTTCATATCTAATCTCATTATGGAGTTGTAGACTGTTGAATAGAGAGTGTCCACTTGTTACAGTTTGCCCTGTCGGCAAAGTAAGTTGTCACACTGGATTATCAAAAAAACAGGACAAATACTTAATTGTGAATATGGATTTTAAGTTCAAATTCAAACTAGGAATAAAAATAAAAACAATCATGCCTTGAAAATCTGGAAATCAATACTTTCAATCAAAACAATAATGCTGACAGAGCAGACATTAAGTGGCACGTCACTTAATTGAACTTTGAAATCAAGGCAATCAGGCTTTTTTCTCATCCAGGCATCACACGCACTGTTGATGTGTTCAATGTTTAGACTGCTTTGCTTACCTCAATCTTTACCAACTAACTTCGATAATTTAAACTAAATCTAAACCATCAACCTGCCTCAGACCCCATCCCAACTAGGCTGCTTAAAGAAGTTTTACCCTTAGTCAATCTTTATCAACAGGCTATGTACCGCAGTACTTTAAAGTAGCTGTAATTAAACCTCTTCTGAAAAAGCCCAACCTTGATCCAGATGATTTAGCAAACCATAGACCTATATCTAACCTTCCCTTTCTCTCTAAGATCCTGGAGAAAGCAGTTGCTAAACAGCTGTGTGACTTTCTTCAGAGCAATAGTTTATTTGAGGATTTTCAGTCAGGATTTAGAGTTCATCATAGCACAGAGACAGCACTGGTGAAAATTACTAACAACCTCCTTATTGCATCAGACAAAGGACTCTGTACTGGTTTTATTAGATCTTAGTGCTGCATTTGATACCACTGACCATCAGATCCTATTACAGAGACTGGAACATTTCATTGGCATTAAAGGAACCGCTCTAAGCTGGTCTAAGTCCTATTTATCAGATCGATTTCAGTTTGTACATGTTAACGATGAGTCCTCCATGCACGCCAAAGTTAGTCATGGAGTTCCACTAGGATCTGTGCTGCGACCAATCCTATTCACTTTATATATACTTCCTTTAGGCAATATTGTCAGGAAATATTCCATACACCTTCATTGTTATGCAGATGATACTCAATTATATCTATTGATCAAGCCAGATGAAACTCATCAGTTAGCTAAACTTCAAATATTTTTTCAGAATGTTAAAATCTGGATGACCTGTAATTTTCTAATGTTAAACTCAGATAAAACTGAAGTTATTGTTCTGGGGTCCAAGCACCTCTGTGACGCATTATCTAAAGATGTAGTTTCCCTGGATGGCATCGCCCTGGCCTCCAGCACCAGTGTGAGGAATCTTGGAGTTATATTTGACACGACATTTTTCAGCAAATTTCAAGGACCGCCTTTTTTCACCTACGTAATATTGCAAAAATCAGGAACAATCCTGTCTATAAATGATTCAGAAAAACTAGTCCATGCATTTGTTACTTCTTGGCTGGATTACTGCAATTCCTTATTATCAGGCTGCTCAAAAAAGTCCATTAATACTCTTCAGCTGGTCCAGAATGCTGCAGCACGTGTTCTGACAGGAACCAGGAAAAGAGATCATATTTCTCCTGTTTTAGCTTCTTTGCATTGGCTTCCAGTAAAATCCAGAATAGAATTTAAAATCATTCTTCTTACCTACAAAGCTCTTAATGGTCAGGCACTATCTTATCTTAAAGAAGAATGCAGGGTTACTTGTGGTTCCTAGAGTCTCCAAACGTAGACTAGGAGCCAGAGCGTTCAGCTATCAAGCTCCTCTCCTGTGGAACCAGGTTCCAGTTTGGGTTCAGGAGGCAGACACCATCTCCACATTTAAGAGTAGGCTTAAGACTTTCCTCTTTGATAAAGCTTATAGTTAGGGCTGGCTCAGGTGAGTCCTGAACCATCCCTTAGTTATGCTGCTATAGGCCTAGACTGCCGAGCGATTTCCCATGATGCACTGAGCTCCTCTCCCTCTGTATGCAACCTCATCCCATTAATGCATGTTACAAACTCGACTTCTTCCCTTTCCCGTAGTCTTGTGCTTTCACTTCACTTCCTGCAGGTGTTTCTGGCTCTGGAGATGTGGAGTCTGGATCTGTGGTTGCGAGTCAACTGCTGCCCCCGTGTTCCTGCTCGACACCCTCTGTGTAATTGTTACTATAGTCCTATTGTTATTATAATCATTATCATTATGATTATTATCATAAACACTACTATAAATATTTGTTCCATTATTCATTCACTCTATAGCAACATTAACTTTACTGTCTGTACCTCTGTGTAAACTTTACTGTCCCCCCTCTCTCTCCTTCACCCCCAACCGGTCGAGGCAGATGGCCGCCCACCCTGAGCCATGGTTCTGCTCGAGGTTTCTGCTTCTTAAAAGGAAGTTTTTCCTTGCCTCTGCCAACATCACAGAGAACGATCTAGACCTGCTCTTTTATGAAAAGCGCTGTGAGATAACTGTTGTTGTGATTTGGCGCTATATAAATAAAATTGAATTGAATTGCTTCTTTAGTGGCCCATAGACAGTCCTTTCTAATGGCTGGATTCGATGTGAGCAGTGGGGTGGGAATGACAGCATAATTATGGCATAATTGTCTCCATGGATGGACAAATGAGACTTGTGGTTGTCCAAAAGGTGTAAACAGAGCTTCTCCTTTGAGCACTTAGTATGTTCATTGAAATTTTTCAGGAAGTCAACGAAGTGCGTATCTTTCATCCATCCAGAGTGATTTGCCCCTCCTTTGCTGCCAGGTGGCCCGTTGATCAGGAAAAGTGAAAGTTGACACAGTGGAAAATAAAATACGGAGGTATACTATTCCCTGTGGCAGAGACCGCACAGGCCAGTGTGAAAAGGGTTCCCCTTTCAGCTGAGCTCAGTGACCCTACTTGTTTGAATCCAAGTCTGGCAACCACTTTGTCAGGTTAATCCTTTGCTGTACTGTGATTGATTTGTTCTGCAAGTCCACCTGCTTTACTGCCTTTAACATGATGTCAGGTGGTGTGCTGCCATGCTCTGTCTTTCGTTGATCTTCCTTCCTTCCTTCAAAAACACATTTCCTTATTGCAATAACAAATCAATTACAGCCTTATTACGCTGTCTGTCCTTCTTGCAATAGTGCAATTCATAACACCACATTAAATTAATGACTGTATGAAGCAGTTTGTGTGTATGTGTGCATGTATGTGTCTACTAATACACTATATGTCTACTGTATTAAACAGTATATCCCCACAGGTGCACACACTACTTCTTACAATGTCATGAATTCAGTCTTGTGTAGTCCAGGGATATGTATGCTGCTGTAAACTATACTGTTGCTATAATAATCTACTTACAGTATCATAAGTATTGTCAGAGCTAATTACAGAATATTACAATGTTTTTTGAGCATGTTCAATTTGTCTAGTAGTCATCACATGTGACAACTTGCCCCAAAGTCAAGGTTAGCTCAACATAGCACTTCATCTAAAGTATCAAAAGACAAGTTATTGTCTCCCCCTGGCGAGGGGCATATGCATAAAATGCTATATACTGTATATCTTATGTAACTCCTGGGTTTGAGTTAAAAGGTGCTTATATAGCATATAAGTGTTATTATTAAGTGATATTAGGCTCTGTCACTTTAAGAGGGTAACCTCTGACCCTGAGCTGTGATGGACTGTGCAGACCACTATAAAGAGAGAGTCGCATCATCTCTGTTCACTCCAATGGAGTGAACGGAGATGGCGCAATGGCGGATCATGGAGCGTCTGAATAGTTCCCAGAAGTTAGCCTCCCTAACACTAAAAGTACTATACTAACATATTATAAAAACAATCTTCATAGTAAACATTAATTACATTAGAGCAGTAGACTCTGCGAGGTGGAGGAGCAGTGATGCTAAAGAGTACTGAGTGGACCATGGTGAGATAGAAAACAACACATGATTATACCATTTATAAGAAACCTTACCTAAAATGTTATATTTTCTTTACCTTCTGTCAGCGTCTGCATCCCGTCTTAGCTTATGAGCTTATTTTCCACACAACAATTCAGGTTTATTTAACCACATTAATATTGCTGAACACGCAATTCTTACTGGATGTTTACTCTAATTACATAATTACTTTGTAAAAATTCAGATCACATCATCATCAAAGTTCCTGTATGTGAGAACTGTTTGAAAAAACAAAAACATTCACTAACAACTTATACAGTAACTAATGCCAACATCAGCCGCAAAAGCTGTTAATGAAGTTCCAAACTTTAACAATCCATGATGATCTGCTGTGATGTTTTTAATAAAACATAAAGCCAGTGATGTGTTCTTTCTTTGTGGAAAAAATACCTCACATATTTTATTGTTAGCCTCTTTAGTGATTGTAAGGTTGCTCCTGTTGACCTGAGTCAACCATTTTTTCCCTCCTCTCCATGTCAGCCGGGAAACCAAACATTCATGCTAATTTTTCTGACAGACAGTTCACAGACACAAACCACTTAACATGCTGTTTTCTGAGTTGGCCAAAAAATGTCCACAAGGTAGGTGATT